ATTCCAGTTGATATCTGTAATTATTGGATTTGTGGTAAATGACTAATTTTCCAAACATAATTTACACCATTGTGTGTCTATCATATGAATATTTTGATTGGCAGCCTCAACACATTATAGATTGGAAATGTTGGTTTATATAACGGATTGAACAATTAATTGAACTGTTTATTTTCACGAGGGATTAAAGATATTTCAATGTATTGAACATATTTGTATCAATGAAAGTATATTTTTTCAATCATGACCTCATCACTAGTCAGTACTTTATTTTCTGTCTATATGCTGAGGTCTGCTGAGAATGGACACTAGGTGAGTTGGTGTGGAGAGGGGGATACAAAGTGAGGGATGGGTATGAATGGAACTAATAAATTGCCATGGGGATGATTGGGAATGTAAAGTATGCGAGGACCAATGAAGGTATAGGTTTCCACAAGGTATGAGGAACTATTGGGTGTTGTAAGAAGCATAGGCTGCCATAGAGGCAGTGGAAGTGTGTTCAAGAAAGTAAATGGCATGTGCTTGTATAGATGGGGCATGGGTGATGATGCAGTGAGAGCGCTAGCGATGTTTTATGTTTTAATCTTCGTTTTTAAACTTTGAACATATTTCAGAATTTTAGACAGGCTTACCATGTGGCTCAGTTTTGAAGCCAAAAACCTCCCCTGTTCTTCCAGGGTCACCCAGCCCAATTCCCAATGCAGCCTGCTCCCCCAAACCAAGATGGCATGTGCAGGCAGCCATTTTAAAGGTTGATTTGGGGAGTCAGTGTTTCCCCTTCTGTACAGCCACAATGAAAACCGAAAAGTTTCACTTGTCAGAAGCCTATTTCTATACTCTTTTTATTTCCTGTATAGCTCTGGTGGTTGCACTTTTTGTTTCCATATGTGATTAAGTTCATCAGAATTGTTTTTGAGTTTTGGCATGCATATTAGAACTCTGTCTAAATTTTCATATTTAAATGTTTGTTGTCATCCAAACAATTTAATTGCTGGTTAGATATATGTCATATATCAGAAATTCCTTTGAATTGTAGAGATACTTCTAAATAGCCCAACTTATGGAAAATATATGGTTAAAAATTTGGGACTTTGATTTCACTAAAAAACCCAGGATCTACATGAAATATTGCAAGTCAGCATCTTTGGTGTTTTGCAAAGTACATGAACAAACAGGTTTATTTAATTCTTTATATTTAAATAAAAACATTTGGAATCATTAAGAAGGGCAAGTTTTTCTGTTCCTCATCTTGTTGATATTAACGTCGCAATATTTCTCAGTGACTCATGACAACATTATTTTCTTGCCGCTCCTATTCACCCACGATAGCTTTTTATACTGCTAGATTGCCACGGGATGTTGTCAGCAACAGTTACTTTTGAAGATCAAGAAAGGTCATTAAAATATGCTTGCAAAAAGACATGCAAAAAATGAGGGGGGAAATAAAGAGCTACCATGTGACACAACATTGAGGCATTATCCCTGATTACAGTAAAATGGTGTCAAGAACTAGTTAGATCAGAATATAAAAATATATATATTATAAATATAATATATCAGTTCCATTTTATTAGATCTATCACTTGATTCATGTGAACTGTGCTTATATACTGCTTTCTATCCCAATGCAACATTTAATCTACTAAACCATCAGTCACCTTGCTGGTTAAGAAATATGCTAATGAAGAAACAACTCTTCCCTTCATTTGGATTATTTGTCCTGTTTCAGAATGTTTTTGCTTGAGCTGTTACTTAGCTATTTTTTTGACGCGTGATGTGTGTACAATTCTTCAAAAAGGGTTAAACTGTACTTGATGGTAAGGCCATCAAGGCTACATATCCAACATGTTTCTATATTACTGTGGACTATGACAGGAATAAAGCTTTAATTCACTTTATGGTTATCTGGTGGACTCTGCCTTTTGTAGGAAGGCTATATTTGCTTTGTTTACAAAATATTGCTTCTTCTTTACTGTATCATTAGTAATGATTTGATGTGCTTGTAAGGATAGGGAAACAGCCTATATGTATGCAATATGCTAGTGACTGCTACAGGACTGCTGGTTGTTTAATCAAAGTACTCTAATGAAACAGTCCCAGTTTTTGTTTGTTAGTTTTAGCTGGTGCATTAATTAGAAGAAATTATATTTGATCTATTTCAGAATTTGGTATTTGAAGTTATAAGTTCAATCTTCCAATCTTGAGTTTATTTGTCATTTTTTTTGAAACAAGCTATTTCAGATGTACTTTACAAGTACTATGCTGCTGTGCATTAAGATGATATCAATCCCAGTCCATAATATATATTTGAAAATAATTTTCTTGTTAGTTTAAAAAAAAAGGAAAAGTTATCTAGTCAGGTTTTGCATCATAAGCTGAATGCTGAAATGTGTGTACCTTGGAAGATCAGCCAGAAAATATAAAATCAGACTAAATGAATAATTGTTGCATGCTTCCAAAAGGATTTCTTTTTATTTTCTACATCATGATAATATCAACTATGATATATTTACTCCCTATTCCCCCATTTCACTGAATGAAATCATCTTTTGTAGCTTTAAGCTCCCTGTTCTCTCGAAGTCTGTTTCAAAAAATAACAAACCCCCTTGCCAGTTTGTCTTGCAAGTGGCGTTCAAAGGAAATTACATCAACTGTGTAATAGTTTTTCTGCTTGATTGCTTCCTGGCTCTGGTTTGATGTCCTCTCCTTTATTAAGCAGTTTGAGACATTCTTCAATATGATTATTACTGTAGTTGCCTAGTGTAAAAAAAAGTTAATAGAGTAACCAACAGTTTCACAGTATAAATCCTGAAATCTTTTAAAGAGCAAATTTCTCACTGAAATGATGGATTACTAGATTCTCACACCACTGCTCAGAACTTGATGTTGGTGTTTCTGCAAGAAGAAAAGACTAGATATTTCCTGTCTACTCAATACAAGACCAGAAAACAATGTGCTGTGATGTAAAACTATGCTATACAGACCTGAAAGATTGAGCTGTAAATATTATTCCATATACTTGACCGCTAGTAGAGAAACCATATTGGCTGAGACTACGATTAGACTTGCTTTTGATTTAACCAGATCTTCCCGTGGGTTTAGAACCCAAGTGTCAGAAGTAAAGTGGTAGGTAGATTCTTGGTGTCACTAGCCCAATCAGAAGCATGGCAAGTATGCAAGTTTGGCAGCCCCACTGGGAGAGGTGGGTGTCTGGAATCTTGTGGGGTGGTACAGTGGATTGAGAAGTTTTACAGATCAGATTAGACACATTTTTCAAAAGGACAGTTCAAATATATTGGTCTAGATATAAAAGAATGTGTAGAAAAACTAGATCAGCAACTTTATTCAGAGACTTGCTCAAATCTGGGTTAGTTACATGAGGGCATTACAGATGGTGTTATATCTAAAACAATTGTGAAGCTTGATTGGCTCATTGAACAGATTGGACAATAACAGTCATGCCCCCTCGAAACATTGCAGGTCTAGGGGGAAAAGCTTGAGAGAGGGACTAGGTCTGTTGCTCTTGCAGAGAGCCAGCACAGAAGTGATGGATCAAGTGATTTCCTGTACTGTAACCATTCTATAATTCTAGATGCTGATTCAGCTATATGTTTACATACAAATGTGGGAATTAGGAGCAGAAATAGGCCATTCAATAAGATGTGACAATTCTGATTTAAACCTCAAATCTGCATTATTGCCTCCCTTATAACCTTACTAAACAAGAAAATATCTAACTCTTCCTTAAAAATTTCAAAGATTCTATCTTCAACACCTGTTCGAGGGAAGTTCCAAAGACTTGACTCTCTGAGTGATTGAAAGAACTTCTCAATATTGTATTTCCTGAGCAGGCTGGGTCTGCCAAAACTCCAAAGATAACCGCGCATGATTAGAGACTTGACCACATATCAGAATACCAGAGTGAAAATCTTTGGAACATTCTGTGCTTAATCTTTTTTCCCTTCAAGAGTAACACCAGACGTGTTTAATTTCAAGGTAAACCTCTGCAGAGAGAAATCTGTTTATCTTTCTCTTTTCCTGAAGAGTGTGTTTGTGCATATTGCAGGTTGTTTAGAAGGACAAACATTTATAATTCCATATTATCATGTTAACCAGTTACTGTATCTTCATTGAATAATTTGTGTTTTGACAATTTATTAAAGAAACCTGGTTGATAGATCTTTTTATTTCAAATCTGATATAGATAAGGTATTTAATTGGCAATTTTTGTAAATGGGAAATATATTTTTATATTTATTCGTGGAGTAGTAGGACTAGAGCAATAGTGCACTTCACCACCCTGTGTCATTTCATAGTCCACTTTAAATAGGAAATACTCAACTGCATTTCTCATAGGTAGCCAATTATTGTCAGAGGGATATATTTACTGGAGTGAGATAGGCCATACTCACCATGCATTGGAACTTCACAAAAGTGTTCAAACAATTTTTAGGATTAGATTTAAAATTATGTTCCATTGGTAAAAGGCCAAGTGTGATCATGCATTATTCAGTTTTTCTATGTTCTGTGTGTTTAAAGTATATGCCTTCTGCTACAATGTCATTTGTATCTTACGTGGAAACAAGCCTTTCAGGCCAAATAATCTGATGATCATTATTCACCACGTTAACAGTGGTCCAATATTCTTTAGCCCTCTTTCTTTCGGTCACTCATCGAACCTAATTTTTAATTGTTGGTCAGGTCTTTTTGAAACTATTAACTTGCGGTCTCTAAACATCGAATTTGTTTTGTTCAAAATTCTTATTGTTATCAATCTGGTGGATCTTTGTAGCACTCCCCTGCTTGAAATAACTTCCTAACATGAGAATAGAATAAGAAATTATGGAAACTAACATAGTGCATAAGTCTGATCTGATTTTTGAGATGGTAAAAAATGCTAAGCTCCAGTAATGTGGAATGGTTGATATTAGCATTATGACTTGTCAGAGAAGCAAACCCCATTGCATACATTACATTGCATCTGTTTTGTATTTTTGCAGGTTTATAGTGCTTGCTGTGGTTCTCTTTGGCCTAACATACAGCCCTCAAGAACAGTGCTCTCTCAATCTGGTTGATCATGGCAGGGGTTACTTGGGCATCCTCATTGCCTGTGTGATATCAGAGGCTGCTATAATCTGGCTTAGTATGCGAGGAAGTATCCTTTACACAGAGCCACGAGATTCAATGCAGTACATCTTGTACATCCGTATGGGTAAGATTTGAGATTTTCCATGTGTGTTTAAAGTTGCTGTTTTTGAGCTTCAACTTATAATGCTATGTGATATTAACAACAACAGAATTACTAAGACTCCCAAACTGAATAGAATACCCTTTTTGTAATTGTTTAATTATGACACTGTTTATGCATTTTACTTACAGGGCCAATTGTTTTTCCACATGCATGTATTCGCTAGTAAAAAATACAAGTAAAATAGCCTGAATGGAATTGGACAAAGCTTGGAACTTAGTCCTCTGGTTTCTTTTATATCAGTCATTGGAGAGGAAATTCACTGTGATGTTAACTTAATTTTCCAACGAATAAAATTAAGGCATTGTTATATTTTCTTCCATTGCATCAATTAGAAATTGAAATTTGTCTTTGGCATTAGTGCTATAGGCAGTTTCACCATCTTAATATAGTACCTATTACTCAATTCCATTAAATATCATATCCATTATTGGCCTCTTCATCACCATTGACTGAGAAAAATTTCTACCTCGATTCAAATTCTGAGTGAAAAACCATTACAGCGTGAAAATGCATCACCTAAAATATGTTCGGTGCAGTGGCTGGCTTGTCATGACTCAGAACTTCAGTTACAATTGAGTAATCGATAGTTGTTAGCACCCTTAATATCCTAGACTGAATCCTTGGGGAGATGAAAAGAGCATTCATGTTAGGCTGTTTCCTTGCAGTACCAAGAGCTTAGCTATATAATTGGCAGTCATGTATCTTGTGCCAAGAATGCGGCAAAATAACCTGTTCTTGGGCTTCTATCAATGCTGAAGGAAAATTAATTGCTAACAGGGCTGAAGGTTGTTTCAGCTGAATATCCACTTGTATTGCCCTTCATGTCTAAGAAAACATTTGGCTTTGGTCCTCTCAAAATGGGGTGATATGCATAAAGTACTTGTTGAGATAGTAGGTGCAGTATATTCTTGTAATTAAACAACAGTCAGCTGTCAATCTAATGCTGCTATTATGGTAGCAACATCACTGAATAAAATTAAACATATTTTATGAAATGATTTTACTCTCTACCCACCATCCCCCACCACGACCACCACTATAACCCTCCAAGCGGAAATATCTCAATCATTTCACTTGGATATGGAGCAGGGAAGTAGAACAGTTAGACATGACGTTGAATTGAGCACTAAATTAAGTGCTTTAATAAGTTTTTTTAAAGTGATGAATAAATTAATTAGTGAAGAGAGAAGAGATATTGCTACATATATTTCATAATTTGTTAGGAACGAAGGTGCTAAAACATAATCATATATTGACGAAGGGGGTCAGAACATGTCCAGGGTGTTATAGACCAGGCAGCTTAACATTGATGGTAGGAAAAATAATGGAATCTGTAGTCAAGGAGAAAATAGAGTATTACCTACAAAATAAAAATATAATAGTCAATAGTTAACATTGATTTCAAATGGGAATATCTTGCTTGACTTAATGGACTTAATGTAAGGGAGACTAGATGGTTTTAACATAATAGATATGATTTATCTGGTCTTTCAGGAGTCCTTTGAGTTACCCCAAATTAACTAATAAACAATGAATGAGGAGTTGGGACTAGTCAAAATAGATTGCTAACTGATCTTAAGACAGAAGGCAGAAAGTGGGAGTAAAAGTTGATTAATCTAAATGGCAGGAAGTGTAAAGTAGCGTTGCACCAAGAGCGGAAGTGGGACTACTGTTGTTTGTAGTTAACCATTTGGGCTTTGGGACAAGAAAGCAATTTCTGATTACGTGAAAGGCTTCAATTAGAGTGGGTGGGGGACCAGTAGAATGAGGATAACTAGAGCAAATTAAAGGAGGATGTTAATAAACTTGTAAATTGGAAAAAATAATTAGAAGATGTTTGTTAAAGATAGTACATTTGGTTTAGAAGAATAGGAATTACTTAGATACTTAGAAGGCATGTGTCTTGGTGGAGAAGAGGAACAAAGGGTTCTTGGAATCCAAATATACCAACCACAAAAATGTTGCACCACAGGGTAACAAGGCCAGTGAGAAAGCAAGGGTAACCATTGCATATTTCTAGAGGAATATGCATGGCAAGTAGGAAGGCTGTGCTAAACCACAGGAAAAGCTGGTTAAACCACATGAACTCCTTCATGCAGCTTGGGCTACTATTTTATATGAAGAATACAGAGGATGTAGGGAACATTTACAAGGCTGATAGCAAAAATGTGTATACATGTTAGAAATGTGTGAACAGACTGCAGAAAAGAATGCAGAACTGTCACCTAATAGAGGACTTCAAAATTATGAAAGGTTTGGATAGAATTAATAGGAGAGAATGTTTCTGTTTGTAGGAAATCGTAACTAGAAGTCATCACCGAAATTGGTAATCAAAAGATCTGATAGGGAATTTGAAAGAAAGTTCTTTGCCCAAAGAGTGATGAGAATGTGGAACCCACTACCATGTGTACAAGGAATGGTTGGAGTGAATAATATTGATGCATTTAAGGGGAAGTCAGACTAGCATAAGAGGGGGTAGGGAATAAAGGATTACAGAAATGTATTTAAGTGAGGGAAAATGTGAGGAGGCTCCAAAATCATCATGAGTATAGTATCAGGAATCAACAGGGAGAAACTGTTCCTGTAGGTGAAGGGATTGATAATAAAAGGGCACCAACTTAAAGAGACAATATAACCAAGGGCAACATGAGGAAGAACCTTTCTGGGGAACTAGTGGTTAGGATCTGAAATGCATTGTTTGAGAATGTGGTGCAGACAGGTTCAGTCATGGCTTTAAAAATATATTGGACAAATAACTGAAGGAAAAAAGATGGTAAGGCTACTGGAAAATGTGAGAGTGGTATGATTTGCATTTCGAGAGCCTTCATGAACCCAACAAGCCTACTGGTCTATTTTTGTACAATAACAATTCTGTGTGAGAGACACAGACAAGATCAAACTTATTGTGGACCCCTACTTGTCCTCAGAAGGTGATTGGCTTTTTGTTTAATCCATGTGCTTCATTCAGTGATGCATTGATGGTTCTTCAATAATAACTGTTATCTCAAACTTTTGCATACCTCGTGTAGCTACTTTGTAGATTTGATTGGCTCTATTTCATGTCTGATCAATGGTGAAGGGAGCTGTCACAATGATCATTGTTCTATCAGATACTGACCTACTGTGTATTTGTAGGATTTTTTGGATTTTGTAGCTATGTTTCAAACCATTCTGTTCTGAACTCATGAACTATATCTGGCAGGATTTGTTTTGTATGCACTGTACAAGTACATTCCTTTTTAGTCATTAAATTCAACCAAAGGTTTAAGCACTCTGTGTTATAGACAAACGAGAAAAGAACATTTTATTTTCACATAGTTGTGATTAGGATGGCAATGCAATACCTGCAGAAAGAAATTACTTGTTACAGACACTAGTTTTGCACCCTAATCTTAAGCTCAACAATGATACAGTATCCTCAGAGTGACAATATGAATTAGATGTAGTGATTGATTATTTTTTCCAGTTAAATAATTTGGTGCTAAATTGTCTGCTAAAACTGCATATTTGCTTTCTTTTAAATAAGAGTATTCCTCATTGGAAAAAGAACATAATCCAGCTCCTTGGCTGTGTTTTTTTCTTGCAGCAATTGTGCTAATAGAATTTGCATACGCAATCATAGGAATTGTCTGGTTAGTGCGGTACTACCACTCCTGTAATGACACTACTGCAAAGAATGTTACTTTGGGTGAGTACAAACAGCGAGTGTACATTCCATTAATGAACAGTATCCTGTTTCTCACAATTCCTAACTGAGTGAATAGTTCTGCTAATCGGCCTTCAAAATTTATGTATTCACGAAAATAAATAAATGCGACTCTTGATTTTTCTCCCATTGTGCTTTTGACATTTTTGCTGGTAGGTACAAATATTTTTCATTTCCTCTAATTCTCCTTTAAATAAGTATTGGCCTTGATCTGTTTCCTCATTCTACTTATATAATTTATACAATTTTAGTTTTATTTTAGGGTTTCATATAGGACTAAACAATATATGGAGAAATACAGACTTGATGGTAGACATCGACATGTCTAAGAATTCTAGGTTGTGTACAACTTGAAGTTCTTGGTTAATGCCAGCCTTTTGTCTCTATTTCTAATCTACTATACTTCTGAGATACTGATTATTCTTAGGTTTGGAGACCTTTCCAGGTATTTTGTGGTCTAGGTTATTTCTGCCCTTGCAATGTAGGCTTATGGAAGCCAAGACTGTTCCAATATTCCTTCTTATCTGAAATGGACCTTCAGGCAAGGTGATGATATGTTGGTTCCTCATAAAAATGGAAGCAGGAGTAAACCTTACAACCTTTTGAGCCTTCTGCACCTATCACAGAGTCATAGAGATAGAGTCATAGAGATGTACGGCAGGAAACAGACTGTTTGGTCCAACTCGTCCTTGCCGACCAGTCTTGCCCTTTACCCAATCCGGAACATATTGTGCCTGGACTCTGGTTATCTCATTTTTAAAGGCTTCCCATTTTCCAACCATCCCTTTATGTGCAAACATCCACCCCCCGCATCAAATTTTGAAGGTTCTTGTTCAATGCTGTCAAAATTGGCCTTCCTCTAATTGAAAACTTTAACTTTTAGATCCAGTCTATCCTTTTCCATCACTATTTTAAAATTAATAAAATTCTGGTTGCTGGCCCTAAAGTGCTTCCCCCACTGACACCTCAGTTACCTGCTGTGCTTTATTTCCCAAGAGTAGGTCAAGTTTTGCAACTTCTTGTAGGTACGTCCACATACTGAATCAGAAAATTTTCTTGTACACACTTAAATGAATTTCTCTCCTTTAATACTATAGCAGTCCCAGTCTAAGTTTGGAAAATTAAAATCCCCTACCATTCTTTCAGTATTATTATGGCTGATCTTTGGTTTCTAACTGAACTGCCTGAATGACTTTCCCTATCCCTTAAATTCCCTGAAAGACCACATGTTGTTCTATATCAATCTTAAATATATTCAACAATGGAGCAAACCTCTAGGGTAATGAATTTCAAAGGTACATAGCTCTTGCCATGAATAAATTTATTTCCACACTTAAGTTTTAAATGCCCCTTAAGCTGAGACTGTGTCTCCATGTTCTAGATTCCACAACAGGGAGAACAATTTCTTAGTGTCTATCATATCCCAGCCACTTAAGATACAAGATCACCTCTCATTCTTCTAAATATAGAGAGTACAATTCTCTTATGCATTGAACTAATCTAATGACTTCTTATTTTTGTACTCAATCTCTTCTCGAGAAAACCAGCATACCATTTGTCTACCAAGTTACTCGCTGTAACTGCATGCTAACTTTCTGTGTTGATTGTACATGTTTCCCCAAGCCCCTCAGAACACCAATATTTACAAATTTCTTAACCTAATCTCAGCTCCTTACTGTCAGTCTTGGCTGCAGCATGGGAGCAGTTTATACTTGGATGGACTCCTGATGAGGAAAGAGAGCAGTACTCGCAACAACAGCAGAAGTACTATCATGGGCTTTTACACTTCCATACAGAATTTTTGACTGACTGCTTGGAGACAAGGGCTACTGTCTGAGGAGCTGTTTGATGACTCGAGGAGCGATGAAATAGAAACTATACAGTATAATTAGGTTGCTGAAAATGTAGTTCGTGTGCCTTGACAGATCTTGACATGCCTTTTCACTAAGCCACATTGAGGGTCTTCAGAATGATTGTGAGTGTTAGCAATTCAGATAAAAACAGTGTATCCTTTTAAATCCACTTGAACATAATACAATATCCAAACAAATGTAACAAAATATAACATCAAGCCACAAAAGGAGACATTGGGTCAGGTGGTGAAAACCTGGTCAAAGAGAAATGTTTTACGGAGTGTCTTAGAAGGGTACAGCATGGTAGAGAGGCAGAGAGCTGTACAGGTGCCCCTCCAGAGATTAAGGTAGGCTGAAGGCACAGATATTATTGGTGGAGCAATTAATCTTGGGATGTTCAAGAGGCCAGAAAGTACTGGTATGTTGGAGGGCTTTGTTGCTGGAGATGTTTCCAGGGATATTGAGGAGGAAAGTCATGAAGTGGTCTGAAATGACATTTTTAATACCAAAAGTTGCTTGAACAGGAGCCTATGTAAGTCAGTGAGCACAAGGGTATTGGTGATCATACTGTGGTTAAGTTAGCACATGGTCAGTAGAGTTTTGAATGAACCCAATTAGCGTAGATGCGGGAGACCAACCAAGATTGCATTAGAACTGTCAAATTTGGAGGGAGAAAAGGCTATCTTAAATGGGTAAGACAGAAAGGAGGAATTTCTTCTCTGAGGGTAGTGAACTTGTGGAATTCTTCAGCTCAGAAGGCTGTAGAGGTGAGTCATAAAGAATATTCAAGGCTGAGGTAGACATATTTTTAATTAACAAGGTGATCAAGAGCTATGAGATAAAGTGGAGTTGACGATTATCAGGCCATCAATAATCTCATTGAATGGAAGATCAAAGGCAATAGGTCAAACGGCCTGCATCTACTCCTAAATCAATGGTTTTAATGTTCATGTGTACATTTTCTAACTCTGGCTGACATATTATTGATATCCTGGACTTAAACCTGGCTGTAGAAATTGAAGACTTTGATGACCTTGAAAGCAGCCATTGACAGTCTGTGCCTGCAAGGGAATTTTTCTGGGGCCAGGTTGCTGCATGTGGCACTAATCAATCATTGCCATGGTTATGGAGTGAAATTTCTGTTCTTTGGGCAATATTAGGTTTGGTAAGCCCATCTTTAAATACCCAATAAATTAGCTTGGTACATTCTGTGCTACGCTTTGACTCATAAATAGTAAGAAATTTACAGTCAGTTAAGTCTAAAACTTTTAATGCAAAATATAATGCTTCAAACACAATGTACTCGATGTATTCAACTAATTTAGGACCATTTCCAAGTTATTCTCAGGACTGTAACTTCTACTCATTCAGAAGTTATAGTTTTCTTTTTGATTAACACACCAGTTTTACATTTCAATGTGTTGTGTAATGCTGATTGCTTTAACAGTTAGATAGGACATGGCATATAAATAGTATAAGTGTGGTAAAAGGAAAAGGCTAATTTGGGACCACAGAAAAGATTAAGATAGGAGGCAAGGACTGAGCTGAGGTATTAAGTAAGTACTTTGCATCAGTCTTGCACTGGAGATGAAATCCTGCCAAACTCACAATTACAGAGATGGCAACTGATCAAACATTGTAACGGCTTAAAATTGATAGAGAGCAATTATGACAAAGGCTTGGCCGTGCTTAAAATTGATAAGTCATAAAGACTAGATGAGTGTTTTCCGAGGATAATGAGCGCATTAAGGATGGAAGTTGCAGTGACACTGCCCATAATCTTGGAATGGTTTTGTTATACAAGGTGATGCTGGATGATTAGAGAATTGCAAATTCTTTCCCCTTGTTGAAACGTGTGCAAAATTAAACCTTGGAAGTAGATTTTATCCTGTGGTGTGAAAGTTTACCAAACAGTAATTCAAACAAAATAACAGTCACTGGACAAGAATGGATTAATTCAAGGATGCAAGCATGACTTTTTAAAGATAAAATCATGCTTACCTAGCTTAATTAAGGTTTTCAATGGTGTAACAGAGAATGTTGATAAGGATTATGTAGTTGATGTGTATATGCTTTGTGATGGAATGGTACTCATCCTGTTCACTTTTTTCAAGTCATCAGCTTTTACATGCAGCATAAGTTTATTTTGGAGAGTCGGGAGTTGAATTCTTAGTTGCTTTCCCATGAGGATTTGGTTTGCTTTAAGTATCTGAATCATTGTACTTGTAGAACCATTTTGGTGAACTCCTTAGAATTTAAGGGTGTCACCGAAGGCTTTGAGGGTAGATCTGTTGGGTTTTGGTGGTGGGCCCTTCCTTGAGCATCGCCTTATTTCTTCAAGATAGAGTCAGTTTCCTCCTTTATCTTACCAAGATGAGTGATGAAATTTTCGGTGTATGCCAGCAAACTGGCTTTGTTTCAGGGCACAGGGTAATGTGGTATGCTGTCCTCAACTTTCCTAGTCCTCCAACCAGCTGTAGAAATTCAGCTGTGAAGTTTATTGGCTGATCTTCTTGACTTTTCACTTTCTCTGCTCTGCAAATCAGATGTAAATTAATACAAACCTCTCTGCCTAAGGTTCAACAGCTCTGGTTTAGAATCTCAAACAAGGTTTTAGTAATTTTTCTCTCAATATATACTGGCATGGATTGAGAGTTGGTTATGAGACAGGAACAGTAGGTGTAAATGGGTCAGTTTTGAAGTGGAAGGCAGTGACAAATAGGGCACCGTAAAGGTCGTTGTTTGGGCCCCAGTTATTCATAATATACATTCACGATTTGGATGAGGGAATCGAACATAATTTTTCCAAATGATCGTGCAAAATGAGGTGAGAGAGTGAGTGGTGAGGAGTTCACAAAGAGATTTAGGGGCAACATAGACAAATTGAGTGAGTGAGAAAATACACGGCAGATGAACTATAACGTGGATAAATGTGAATTTGTTCCCTTTTGTAGGAAAAACAGAATGTCAGGGTATTAATCAAATGGTGACATTTTGGGAACAATTGATGTACAATAACACCTGAGTACACTTTTACATCACTTATTGAAAGCAAGCAGGCAGGTGCATCAAGCAGTTAAGGTAAATAGTATGTTGGAGAGTAGGGAGTTGAGTTTTCGGTTGGCATCCCATGAGGAGTTTACATTTTGGAGTGATTTTGAACGACAGCTCAGGAATGCAAGTTGAATGTAAGACCAAAAGGTGTAGCAACAGGAGTAGGCCATTTGGCTCATTAAGTCCAGAATACAATTCAATGAAATCATGGCTTATCTGATAATCATCAACTCCATTTTCCTGCCTAATCCCCATAACCCTTGATTCCCTTAATGATTAAAAGTCTGTCAATCTCAACATTGAATATACTTAGTGACCCAGCCTCAACAGCTTCTGATTTTATAATATGGGTCTCCATATCATCCTGGAACACCAAATGAATTTGCTTTCTGACTTTAATTTGTCTGATCAGTTGAATTGCCTTAAAGTTAAATCATCAACAAACTGGAGATGGTCAGGCGATGTTCCATCTGATACTCTGGCAAATTTTTCCTGTTTTTTTTCTTGAGCTACTATATTCAAAGTTCTCTGCAAATCGTTGATAAAAGTATCAATGCATTCCACTGTGCTGGATATTTTATTAAATTTAGTCCGCATGGCAATGGTCTATTTTTGCAGATTAAAGTAGATATCAAATATATTTATTATTGCTTCATACATAACACTTTCTTCATCAATCCTTTATCTGACTAGGAAGTTATCTGCACAACCACCTGTTGCATACAACAGTGCACTGACTTTCATACTGTACAGCTTTGCAGTAAGGCCAGATAGGTGCAATATGTTTTAAATCTTAGGCACCACTTCAGTCCACTTCTGCTTGATTGGGGCCTGTAACCTACTCAAAGCTTTTTTGTCAATGGGAAAGATTTTTCCATATTGTTCTTTCACTTTTTGTCACATATCATATTCTTGGTCTTACTGTGTTACTGAAGAATATTTACAGAGCCTGATAAGGTAAACAAAATGTGAATTTTATTTAAGAAATATCATACTGTGGCTTCATCTTGCTGTAAGGCTGCAAGAAAATGCAAATCATTGACGTTCTATCACTTCCTGTGATGATGTATATTGTCTCTTTAATGTATTGCACTTGTTAAAATTTATTCATGGAATATGGTTGTCATTGGTGAGTCAGCATTCATTGCCCATCCTAATTGCCTGAAAAAGGTGGTGATGAGCTGTTTTTTTTTTTAAATTCCTGTAGCCCACTGTAAAGGGGCAGCTGGAGTGCTATTAGGCGGGAAGTTCAAGGGTTTTGACCCAGCAGTGGTGAAGAGTGGTGTTATATAGTTCAATGGCAGGATGGTGTGTGGTTCCAAGAGAGCTGATAGGTGGTGATGTTCCCGTGCATCTATTGTGACGTCCTTCTAGGTGATAGAAGTCACAGGTTTGGAAAATGCTGTCCGAGGACCCTTGAGTTACTGCAGTGCATTTTGTAGATGATGCATGCTGTTTCACTGTACATCAGTAGGGAATGTTGAATGTGGTGAATGGGGTGCCAGTCAAACAGGTTGTTTTGTCCTGGATCATCTTGAACTTCTTGAGTATTATTGGAGTTGAACGCATTTAGGCAAGTGGGGAGTATTCCATCATGTCCCTGACTTGGACCTTGTAGATGGTGGACAGGCTTTGGGGAGACAGGAGTAAGTTACTTGCTGCAAAATTCCTAGTTTCTGGCCCATCCTTGTAGATGTAGTATTCATATGGCTGTTCTAGTTAAGTAGCTTATACTGCAAATGTGTAAAAAAAAAAAAAAAAAATCACCATACAATGAATCCATTTTTTAAAAATAAAAAGCAAATTATTGAATAAAAAGATAACATTGGTATAAACTGTTTGCAGAATGCTTTAACAATGTTCTAATTTCTGTCTGTTCCTAGGAATTGTAACCTGCAATTGGGTCGTTATTCTGAGCGTCTGTATAACCGTAATGTGCGTCTTCGACAGAACAGGCAGGACGTTTGTGAAACTTCGGGCAACGAAACGGCGTCAACGCAACCTCAGAACTTACAATTTACGGTATGTATGAATAGTTCATAATATTTTAGCTTGGGTACTTTGTGATGTAGTCAGCTCTGTGCAGATGGAGCTTTTCTACATTGCAGCTGCTGCTAGGCATTGAGATCTTTCTTAAGTTGTCCATCCATCATTGACAGAAAGCTGAATGGATCCTTTTATATAAGCCTGTTTTGAAAAGGCGCAATGACTTAATGAGACAGTTAGCAACAATGATGTAATCTCAGTGTTCCTGCTGTTGCTTTTTGTTGCGACTTTTCTCTTTGTACATAGGGCCATTAAAATTAATTGAAAAAAAGTCAATTCCTGTTTCTGACTTGACTTTAACATTACACATACATGGAGGGCTCTTGTGGCACAGTGGTGGTGTTCCTACTTCTGAGCCAGGATTGATTGATTGATTGATTTATTGTCACGTGTACTGAAGTACAGTGAAAAGCTTTGTTTATGAGCAGTACAGGCAGATCACAGTACGCGAGGAAATATAGATCAAAAAGACTTAGACAGAGGCATTCAGGTTACTTTGCACAGGATGTGCGCTAGGCGAGATCAACATTAGCAAAATCAGCATTATTTGAGACTAGAGAGTCCATTCAATAGTCTAATAATGGCCGGGAAGAAGCTGTTCCTGAACCTGCTTGAGCATGTGTTCAGGCTTCTGTATCTTCTGCATGATGGAAGAGGTTGTAGGAGATCATTACCGGGGTACAATGAGTCTTTGATGTTGGCAGCCTTTCCGCAGTATCGAGCCATGTAAATGGAATCCGTGGATGGAAGGTTGGCTTCTGTGATGGTCTGCATGTGCACGTTACCACCTATAGTTTTTTACAGTCCTGGACCCAGCAGTTGCCATACCAGGCCATTATGTACCCGGACAGTGTGCTTTCAATGGTGCATCTGTAGAAGTCGGTTAGGGTCCTTAAGCCAAATCTCCTGATTGGAAAGTGATAATATTACCTTGTAAGATGTCCCACATGCACTAGTCACCTATCAGAGATGCACACATTTCAAATTTGTACCTGATGAACAGGATTTGACTGAGGTGGTAGAACATGGCCAGTGTGGGAACTTTATCCCAGCATAAATTAATACTTCTGAGAATTGGGAGACCAAAAGCTGAAAGATTAGTCAAGGGACTAATACTGTTGGCATTATTTAATTCAGGCAAATCTCGATTTTTGGCAAGGGAATCTTGCAAGATAAGAATACGAGGAGAAGTTCATTGTCATAATCATTTAACATTGGCTCTGAAGGGCCTCAAGCCAGCGCATCTAGAAACTGTCGTATTTGTTGAAGTTGTTAGAAATTATCTGCAGTCTTCTTTAATTGATGTTTAGGGACATGCATTACTAATTTCCAATATGTCAACTTGCAAGGCTGACTAAAGGTTCAAAGTTGACAGATCTAAAGAAGCATGGAATATAGAATGTCTGTTTGTAAAATGTATTTCATGTGGCTTTCATTAATTCTCATTAATATCATTGACTCTTAAATGTCCTATGCAGTGGCCTAATGAGCTACCCACTTCAAAGACTGTTAGGGATTGGCAACAAACAGCAGCATTGCTAGTGACACCCACATCTCATGACAGAATAAAATGAAGATCCTGTAGTGGAACTTGAAATCATGTCCTGATGATGTAGGGCTGGTAATGAAGTCAGATTACATCCAGGCCATCTTGCCTGTGAAAGAAGAAATTAAACTGGTGTTGCAATGGATCATATCCCATTCGTCATTGAAGGCCCCATTTTTTTGCTGCAGGATTCACAGGTGACAGCATAAAAAAACAAAAGCTTGCACCAGTGATAAATTTAGAACTTTCCGAAGGGAAATGTGAGTGCTGAAGTCAATAAATAAATATACTGGGCCATCTCTAGATAAGTTGAATTTTAGATTCTTTATCTGTTACTTTTTTTTTTGCACCGTATAACCTACTGTTTTGTCCTTTTAATCTAAAAATAATTTATCTTGGATAGCAGGTATGAAAAGGTAACGACTTCAATACATTATAGGATCCAGAAAATCTAACCCCAGATATATCTTGCTAATTTATAACAAATAACAATAATCCTAAATATGTATGGATCTAATTTCACAAGACAAAACTCTCAAATCAGCGTGTGATAAAGGTTCATGATATTATTATCTGAAACCTGGGTTCTAAAGTGGAAGTACCACGTACAGCTTCAAGTTAGATTTTGTATTTCTATGTTGTGCATTAAGGGGAGAAATGGTTTTACTTTCATTTTAGATCTGTTCTGTGACTTGTGGCATGGTGTGAGATATTTGTTGATACATGCACTGTTAATGAAGGCTTATATAGAACTTGAGGTGAATGTTTCAGTATATTAGGAAAAAGGCAAAGAAAGAAAATCCTGCTAGTGGCATCAGTCAAGTATCACAGGATGACAGTACCATCCAGGAAGTTAGGCAGTGCATGCAGGTTCAGTTGGAGTGGAAAGGTGCTGTTAGTTTAGCAGTCTCCAAACAAGTTAGGGCTGTGGAAAATCGGTGAATCTAGCAAATCAGCAAGTCAGTGTCTGTGGACACGAGATAATGAAGGTCAAGTGCCGACGAAATAAGACTAATCATTAAACTCCTGGGAGCTAAGAGTATGGAAAATCTATGTGTTTGTTCTGAAATTGCTTAAAATTTGAGTATCTGTAAAGTTGTTGTCGAGTGTAAAAGGGTTGAATTTTTATTTCTGATATTTGTAATAAATCCATTTCAATGTAGCTGTTATGTAGTGTAGCACTGTTCTTGTTTGTCTTTTGTGTAATAAACTGTTTTTTTTTTGTTGGCACCCTCTTGTGCTTATGTTCAGTGACTGACCACCACTGACTCCAAGTTTCAAAATTGAGATTTATGATCTGTCAAGCCAGGTCTCACCCTGGAGTTTGACCAGTTCACTATACCATTAGCTGGGAGCTCTTTGCAGCTCAAAACGTTGTGAATTTAAGAGGAATCTTTTTAAAAAGTGCACGGAGGTACTGAGCATAAACATAGGAGAATAATAATAGGAGAACTATCACGTTAGAGTTTCAAATTAGCTTTTACCATTGCTAAGATTTTTCCGGGAATAAATATGTAACAGTGGATTATTTAAAACCTTTGATAAGGCTAAACTGAGGAAGTTAGTGGACAAGTTTATGGTGGAAATAAAAGCAAGTTTTTGTAAAGATGAGATGCTTGAAGTGATTACCCAACATTTAGAACTATAAGAAAGGAAACGTAAAATTGATATGTCACTACTAGAATTAGCTAAGATTCAATTAGAAATTTAACAAAAAAAGTTGGAAGGGAATGAGAAATGGAAAAGGAAGAGAATAAAGAAACAACATCCGGGGGGAGAACAAAGAAGGGAACTGGACATAGAAACAAATCCAAATGGACTTTTTTACACAGAGGATGGTGTGTGTATGGAATGAGCTGCTGGAGGAAGTGGTGGAGGCTGATATAATTGCAACATTTAAAAGGCATATGAATAGGAAGGGTTTAGAGGGATATGGGCCAAATACTGGCAAATGGGACTAGATTTATTGCGGATATCTGGTCAGCATGGACGAGTTGGACCGAAGGGTCTGTTTCTGTGCTGTATATTTCTATGACTCTATGAAAGAGAGGAAAGGAAAGGGCAAGACAGTGAAATTTTAAAAGCTTGATCTCCAAAGATAGGAGGAAATCAGACAACATGACTTGGCTGGAGAAAGGCTGAGAGTAAAGGAGGAAAGAATCATAGTAGCTTAGAGGCTGGTTGTGATTCCAGTGAAAGATTTGATTGAACTCAAAATCTATGCTTAGTGTTTACATTTACAGAAGATGGAGTTGAAAGATATTTCACTCATTTGGAAAGGTAGCTGTGAAATTAAAGGGACCAAAAATGATTGAATCTTAATGTTACAGTGTGTCCTGATAGGTGCAGCTATGAATGTGTACTCCAGTCAGAAAGGAAATCTGTAGTCTGTGAAATTGCTAGAAGTGCTATACTCAGTGCTTACGAGCAACATCCTGAACCTTCTTACTTAAAAATTTAGGATTTAAGCCCTCAGAAGTTGGCATAAGTGACGGAATAGATTACGTTGTTGATGGACAATGAAATTATTGAATTGAGTCATAGTGGTTGGAACTTGTGTATTTTGAGGATGCTAAGACAAGATGGATCAAAATGATGTTGTATGGATTTTTGAAAAATCTATAAGCAATGAAGGCAGATTCAAATTCAGTTCTGCATTTGAAGGATTGTTTTGAATGGATTAAATTCGAACCAAGTGTTGCAAAAATTAATTTATTAAAGGGATAGTCACAAGTTCCGTTGACTGGTACAACCAAGGAAAAAATCTGCTTTTGTAATCTAAATATACTTAATATTTGTAAGGTCATGCTGTTTGGAATGAAAAATGTACCAACAACGTTTCAGTGATTAACCAAGAAGGTCATGCAGTTATGTTTGGTTATGCTCAGTCAAATCTGGAAGTAATGCTTAAAATACCTAATCAAATTGTTTGCTTGATTACTAAAAAGCAAGTTTGGTCACAAAACCAGCTGAAAGTTAATCTCCCAAATGCAAATAACTTATTTGGGCCACATCACAGGGCAAGGCCAAATAGCACCTAGAAGAGGTAAATAACAGCTAACTTAGATTTTCCCATTTCTGAGACAAAATAGGAAACTTTGCAGCACATCAACATGGATGGATTTTAACTGTAGTTTGTTACAAGTATCAGTACTGTCATGATTTTGACACGTTTATTTCAAAAAATGTAACTAATTTGAGTGGTTAAAGAAAATCAGTGTGTCTGACAAATTAAAAGGTGTATTGACAACAGTACCATTTTGGGCAGCACCGAATCATTCTTATCCATTTAATATGACAGTTGATGGCAAGAGCATCAGCTTTGGTGCAATGTTATTGTAGGAGGATGAGATGGGAATCGAACGCCAGTCAGTTACTTCCAGCATAAATTAAATGCGTACCAATATAAATATTCAAGTGTGAGTAATGAGATCTCATAGCCAATTTTAATCATCTTCTCGTAGCAATTTGAAACACTTATAATCATAAATAAAAAAATCATAAAGTATTGCTTGATGGCTGATAAATGATTATATGGCAGTAATACAGTCCTCTAGGTGAGATGATCAGTAAACTATATGAGCTTCACTCTTGGAGATTTATGATGCTACTTAAGTTCCTTGATTAGATAGCAACTTAGCAAATGATATGACTTATTTGGTATTCTCAATCAAATGTTGCTTTGTTATCCTGTAGACTTAATGTTACTTATATATGTTTTAACAAAAGGCAGCTCACCAGCAGCACTTAAGGGCAATTAGGAATAAGTAATAAGTGCTGGCCCAGCCAGTGATGCCCACATCCCATAAATGAATAAATAAACATTCACAGGTATTTTTCCTATTAAGGAATGAATTCCGGCAATATGGTGGCAGGGTATGTTGTTCCATTCGGAGATCCACTCTGCTCGCCAGTTCTCTTTCTCTTTCTCTTTCTTTCTTTGTCCTTTTTTTTCCTCCCTTCTTCTCTCTCCCTCTGTAGTAGTTCTATCCCTCCCCCACTCCTTTTAACTACCTACCTAAGGAGCTGGGTCATGACTGGGAACCACATGGGAGCTGAATACACAGATTGTGTCCTCCAGCGATGGTGGATCGAGCGTGGGCCAGAGTGACGGTGGCAGACCACAGGTGGGCCAGCGAGAGTGGGCTGGTGAGGCAGCAACGGCGAGAGCAGGCCGGTGAGGCAGTGGTAGCAAGAGCAAGTTGGTGAGGCAGCTGAGAGCAGGCCAGTGAGGCAGTGACGGTGAGAGCAAGTTGGTGAGACAGCTGAGAGTGGGATGGTGAGGCAGCGACGGCGAGACTGGGACAGTGAGGCAGCCCAGAGTGGGACGCTGGTGGAGTCATGACGAGGGCTGAAAAACCTGGAGCCGGGACTCTGGCAGAGGCATGGCGAGGGCTGGAAACTCCGAAGCGGGACTGCGGCAGTGAAAGGGAAAGTTGGACTCTCTTAAGACATCTTTTTCTCTCTTATTTTATTCTAAGTTAATGTAAATGGCAACACGTATGTACGGTGAAGGGACACACTTTTCACGGTATTTTTACATTGAATACACATGATAATAAATGATTCAGACTTCAGACTTAAAGTTTGATGGCTGTTGCTCCATTGAGAATGAATTTGGTACATAACTTAGGCTTTATACTGTCTCTGGCAACTGCTTATTAAAAGATGGGCTTTGCTGCACTCAGTTTGCAACATGGAATTATAATCATATACCGTAACCTCCAAAGCAATGTAGTAGAAAAACACTCCACCAGTATTCTTCAAGTCATACTTTAATGGTTGTGTTTGGCTCTGAGCTGTTCAATTTACAAGTCCTAGTTTAAACTCTAGTCCGTGGTAAATAGCAAGCGGAACAGCTTTTAGGATGCTACGGTTAGATGTCAGGTAACAATGGAAGTAGGCTTAAGGTCGATATCCCTTTTTGTTGAACAATATGTAACACTCAGCATTTGTGCTGCATTTAAAGAACATTCTCTTGTTTAGGCACCAGAGCAATGCTAGCATGTGTATGTATATAGCCCAACAAAAGGTGATGTCTTCAGGAGAATGGAGAAGTAATGAGGCAGAAAATTTGTCAGGGAAGGTAAAATCTGACGGCCTTATTGACGAAGTTTTGCAACTGGTAGCACTTTTGTTTTATCCACTCATGAGTTCTGGGTATTGGTGATAAGGTTTGCCCATCCGTTGCTCTTGAAATGAATGGCTTGCAAGGCCACTTTGGAGGGTAGTTAATAGTCAACCACATTGCTGTAGATCTAGAGTCAGGTGTACACTAGACGAGGTAAGGATGGCAGCTTTCCTTCCCTAAAGACCATTCATGAACCAGTACTTTTTAACAACAATTGGCAATATTACACAGTTGTTATTAGGCCCGTTTTTAATTCCTTATTTTTATTCACTTCATATCTCACTATCTCCTGTAGTGGGATTTGAACCCACATCCCCAGAAACTTAGTCTGGATTGCTAGTATAGTGAAATTACCACTATTCTACTGCTTCCCATAATTTAACAGTTTGTGCTTTTCACACTGCCACATTTGGAGCAATATAGGATTTGTTTAGACAATTGGGAGTTGGGCATGAAGCAGGAACTCCAGTGTTCTCCTGAAACAATGGTATATCGTTAAGTTGTCAGATTTTGGAGCTGCCTGTAAGTTGGGGAGATTTCTTCAAAACTGATGTCTTCGAATATCAGTTTTTTTTTTAGTCTTATTATTAAACTTTGTCAACTATCCTTTAAGATTAAACAAAATACATCTTTTATACTCATGTAGCCATCGTTTAGAGGAAGAACAAGCCAGTAGCTGGAGCCGGAGATTGAAATTTTTCCTTTGTTGTACACGTACACAGGACACACAGACTGTAAGTAAAATTACATTTTTCAGTGGAGTTTTTTTGTATAGAT